AACCACTGATATACTGACCAATCTTTACAAACCACAGATGTACTGACCAATCTTTACAAACCACAGATGTACTGACCAATCTTTACAAACCACAGATATACTGGCCATTCTTTACAAACCACAGATGTACTGGCCAATCTTTACAAACCACAGATGTACTGAGATGTACAAACCACAGATGTACTGACCAATCTTTACAAACCACAGATGTACTGACCAATCTTTACAAACCACAGATGTACTGACCAATCTTTACAAACCACAGATGTACTGACCGGTCTTTACAAACCACAGATGTACTGACCAATCTTTACAAACCACAGATGTACTGACCAATCTTTACAAACCACAGATGTACTGGACAATGTTTACAAACCACAGATGTACTGACCGATCTTTACAAACCACAGATGTACTGACCGATCTTTACAAACCACAGATGTACTGGCCAATCTTTACAAACCACAGATGTACTGACCGATCTTTACAAACCACAGATGTACTGACCAATCTTTACAAACCACAGATGTACCGACCAATCTTTACAAACCACAGATGTACTGACCGGTCTTTACAAACCACAGATGTACTGACCAATCTTTACAAACCACAGATGTACTGACCGATCTTTACAAACCACAGATGTACTGACCAATCTTTACAAACCACAGATGTACTGACCGATCTTTACAAACCACAGATGTACTGACCATTCTTTACAAACCACAGATGTACTGGCCAATCTTTACAAACCACAGATGTACTGACCAATCTTTACAAACCACAGATGTACTGACAGGTCTTTACAAACCACAGATGTACTGACCAATCTTTACAAACCACAGATGTACTGGCCAATCTTTACAAACCACAGATGTACTGCCCAATCTTTACTAACTGCTGATATACTGACCAATCTTTACAAACCACAGATGTACTGACCGATCTTTACAAACCACAGATGTACTGACCGATCTTTACAAACCACAGATGTACTGACCAATCTTTACTAACTGCTGATATACTGACCAATCTTTACAAACCACAGATGTACTGACCGATCTTTACAAACCACAGATGTACTGACCAATCTTTACAAACCACAGATGTACTGACCGATCTTTACTAACTGCTGATATACTGACCAATCTTTACAAACCACAGATGTACTGACCGATCTTTACAAACCACAGATGTACTGACCAATCTTTACAAACCACAGATGTACTGACCAATCTTTACTAACTGCTGATATACTGACCAATCTTTACAAACCACAGATGTACTGACCGATCTTTACAAACCACAGATGTACTGACCAATCTTTACAAACCACAGATGTACTGACCGATCTTTACAAACCACAGATGTACTGACCAATCTTTACAAACCACAGATGTACTGACCAATCTTTACAAACCACAGATGTACTGACCAATCTTTACAAACCACAGATGTACTGACCAATCTTTACAAACCACAGATGTACTGACCGATCTTTACAAACCACAGATGTACTGACCGATCTTTACTAACTGCTGATATACTGACCAATCTTTACAAACCACAGATGTACTGACCGATCTTTACAAACCACAGATGTACTGACCAATCTTTACAAACCACAGATGTACTGACCGATCTTTACAAACCACAGATGTACTGACCAATCTTTACAAACCACAGATGTACTGACCAATCTTTACAAACCACAGATGTACTGACCAATCTTTACAAACCACAGATGTACTGACCAATCTTTACAAACCACAGATGTACTGACCAATCTTTACAAACCACAGATGTACTGACCAATCTTTACAAACCACAGATGTACTGACCAATCTTTACTAACTGCTGATATACTGAGCAATCTTTACAAACCACAGATGTACTGACCCGATCTTTACAAACCACAGATGTACTGACCGATCTTTACAAACCACAGATGTACTGACCCGATCTTTACTAACTGCTGATATACTGACCAATCTTTACAAACCACAGATGTACTGACCAATCTTTACAAACCACAGATGTACTGACCGATCTTTACAAACCACAGATGTACTGACCGATCTTTACTAACTGCTGATATACTGACCAATCTTTACAAACCACAGATGTACTGACCGATCTTTACAAACCACAGATGTACTGACCGATCTTTACAAACCACAGATGTACTGACCAATCTTTACAAACCACAGATGTACTGACCAATCTTTACAAACCACAGATGTACTGACCAATCTTTACAAACCACAGATGTACTGACCAATCTTTACAAACCACAGATGTACTGACCAATCTTTACAAACCACAGATGTACTGACCAATCTTTACAAACCACAGATGTACTGACCAATCTTTACAAACCACAGATGTACTGACCAATCTTTACAAACCACAGATGTACTGACCAATCTTTACAAACCACAGATGTACTGACCGATCTTTACAAACCACAGATGTACTGACCAATCTTTACTAACTGCTGATCTTTACAAACCACAGATGTACTGACCAATCTTTTACAAACCACAGATGTACTGACCGATCTTTACAAACTGCAGATATACTGACCAATCTTTACAAACCACAGATGTACTGACCGATCTTTACAAACCACAGATGTACTGACCGATCTTTACAAACCACAGATGTACTGACCCGATCTTTACAAACCACTGATGTACTGACCAATCTTTACAAACCACAGATGTACTGACCAATCTTTACAAACCACAGATGTACTGACCAATCTTTACAAACCACAGATGTACTGACCGATCTTTACTAACCACTGATATACTGACCAATCTTTACAAACCACAGATGTACTGACCAATCTTTACAAACCACAGATGTACTGACCCAATCTTTACAAACCACAGATGTACTGACCGATCTTTACTAACCACAGATGTATACTGACCAATCTTTACAAACCACAGATGTACTGACCAATCTTTACAAACCACAGATGTACTGACCGATCTTTACTAACCACTGATATACTGACCAATCTTTACAAACCACAGATGTACTGACCAATCTTTACAAACCACAGATGTACTGACCCGATCTTTACTAAACCACAGATGTTACAAACCACAGATGTACTGACCGATCTTTACAAACCACAGATGTACTGACCAATCTTTACAAACCACAGATGTACTGACCAATCTTTACAAACCACAGATGTACTGACCAATCTTTACAAACCACAGATGTACTGACCAATCTTTACAAACCACAGATGTACTGACCAATCTTTACAAACCACAGATGTACTGACCCGATCTTTACTAACCACAGATGTACTGATATACTGACCAATCTTTACAAACCACAGATGTACTGACCAATCTTTACAAACCACAGATGTACTGACCAATCTTTACAAACCACAGATGTACTGACCAATCTTTACAAACCACAGATGTACTGACCAATCTTTACAAACCACAGATGTACTGACCAATCTTTACAAACCACAGATGTACTGTACTGATCTTTACAAACCACAGATGTACTGACCAATCTTTACAAACCACAGATGTACTGACCGATCTTTACAAACCACAGATGTACTGACCGAATCTTTACAAACCACAGATGTACTGACCGATCTTTACTAACCACTGATATACTGACCAATCTTTACAAACCACAGATGTACTGACCAATCTTTACAAACCACAGATGTACTGACCAATCTTTACAAACCACAGATGTACTGGCCAATCTTTACAAACCACAGATGTACTGGCCAATCTTTACAAACCACAGATGTACTGACCGATCTTTACAAACCACAGATGTACTGACCAATCTTTACAAACCACAGATGTACTGACCAATCTTTACAAACCACAGATGTACTGACCGATCTTTACAAACCACAGATGTACTGACCGATCTTTACTAACCACAGATGTACTGAGCAATCTTTACAAACCACAGATGTACTGACCAATCTTTACAAACCACAGATGTACTGACCGATCTTTACTAACTGCTGATATACTGACCAATCTTTACAAACCACAGATGTACTGACCGATCTTTACAAACCACAGATGTACTGACCGATCTTTACAAACCACAGATGTACTGACCCGATCTTTACTAACCACTCTTACTGATCTTTACAAACCACAGATACTGACCAATCTTTACAAACCACAGATGTACTGACCGATCTTTACAAACCACAGATGTACTGACCGATCTTTACAAACCACAGATGTACTGACCGATCTTTACTAACTGCTGATATACTGACCAATCTTTACAAACCACAGATGTACTGACCGATCTTTACAAACCACAGATGTACTGACCGATCTTTACTAACTGCTGATATACTGACCGATCTTTACAAACCACAGATGTACTGACCGATCTTTACAAACCACAGATGTACTGACCGATCTTTACTAACCGCGGATATACTGACCAATCTTTACAAACCACAGATGTACTGGCCAATCTTTACAAACCACAGATGTACTGACCGATCTTTACAAACCACTGATGTACTGACCGATCTTTACAAACCACTGATGTACTGACCGATCTTTACAAACCACAGATATACTGACCAATCTTTACAAACCACAGATATACTGACCGATCTTTACAAACCACAGATGTACTGACCGATCTTTACAAACCACAGATGTACTGACCGATCTTTACTAACTGCTGATATACTGACCAATCTTTACAAACCACAGACGTACTGACCGATCTGCTGATATACTGACCAATCTTTACTAACTGCTGATATACTGGTATCTGTACGAACTACTTATGTGCTGGTATCTTTACAAACTACTTATGTGCTGGTATTTATGACATCTGATGGTCTGTCATGACTGCAAAGTTTATTTAGTTTCATGATGAAACATGTTGTGTTTCATGGTGGAGCTGGGGCACTGCCATGGCAACAAGAACAAACTTGCAATTTCTTTGTTTCCTTGTAACAGATGGGGGCGGCAGACATGAAGGAGTTCCATCCGTGTCTCAAGAACGTCCATGATTTCCTGCGAGAGACGCAGATCCCAGACAATCCCCCTGACTACAGAAAGTACTACCGTCAAACGAACAAGGTCAGACACAACTTTCTCTTCTCTGTAAATAGTCTGGACTGTTAGCACTAGCACCTCCCTCCCCACAGAGCTGAGTATGAACATCAACTGTACACGTATCTGTTGACCAAGTCGATAATTAGGAGATACCATACTGTTTAAGATCACTGCATCAGCATTCATCTCGTTATATTATCGTTTTAACTAAATCACTGGTAGGGGAACGTGTGCACTGCACAGCTGATTGCTATTTCTGGCACTGTATACAAGACGATTACACACAGTAATCTTAATCCCTGCATATAAGACAATGCCTAGCAAAAAACAAATTACAACTAAAAAGGTAGATAATCTTCTCTAGTGATGTTTAATTGCAAATCTGACGTCTTTACTGACAAAGTCGTCTTCTCTTGTCTGTTTGTTCATGCGAAGAGATACGATGTCGTTATTCTTACCACCTGAAAAAATGTTTGACGAACGTGTAACCCATAAGATAAATTGGAACTGAAAAGATAAATAATCTTGTTAAGTGATGTTTAATTGCAAATTTGACGTCTTTTTCGTCGAAGTTGTTTTTTTCTTGTTTGTTCATGCCAAGCGATACAATGTCGTTTACTTACCCCCTGAAAAAAGTTTGATGAAAAGTGTAACCCGTAGATAAGCTGACCCCCTTCTACAGACTGCTATTTTTTGGTCCTCAAAATTCAGCTTATCTATGGTAATATACGGTAAACATACTGTGTTGGAAAATCACAGGTATTTGATTTAAAATCGAACACCTAGGGTTCATTCTACCATAACTACTTTATTAAGATTTAAAAACAATACATATTATGTTGGAAACGTGATTATATACCACTGAATGACTTAATTAACCAATCATAATCTGGTATTTACTGTTGTCATGGTAGAATGTAGCTTATACCCAGAAGTGTCATGCCCTACAGTGTCATACTCAGAATGTCATGCCCAGCAGTGTCATACCCAGCAGTGTCATGCCCAGTAGTGTCATGCCCAGCAGTTTTCTGCCCAGCAGTGTTGTGCACCACAGTGTCATTCCCAGCAGTGTCATACTCAGCAGTGTCATCCCCAGCAGTGTCAGGCCCCACAGTGTCATGCCAAGCAGTGTCAGGCCCCACAGTGTCATGCCCAGCAGTGTCAGGCCCCACAGTGTCATGCCCAGCAGTGTCATGCTGCACAGTGTCAGGCTCCACAGTGTCATAACCAGCAGTGTCAGGCCCCACAGTGTCATGCCAAGCAGTGTCAGGCCCCACAGTGTCATGCCCAGCAGTGTCAGGCCCCACAGTGTCATGCCAAGCAGTGTCAGGCCCCACAGTGTCAGGCCCAGAAGTGTCATACCCCACAGTGTCAAGCCCAGCACTGTCATACCCAGCAGTGTCATGCCCCCCAGTGTCAAGCCCAGCAGTGTCATGCCCCCCAGTGTCATGCCCAGCAGTGTCAAGCCCAGCAGTGTCAGGCCCCAGTGTCATGCCCAGCAGTGTCATGCCCAGCAGTTTTCTGTCTCAGTGTCATGCCCAGCAGTGTCATGCCCAGCAGTGTCGTGCCCAGCAGTATCATACCCAGCAGTGTCAGGCCCAACAGTGTCATGCCAAGCAGTGTCATGCCCCACAGTGTCATGCCCAGCAGTGTCATGCTCGACAGTGTCAGGCCCCACAGTGTCATGCCCAGCAGTGTCATGCCCCAGTGTCATGCCCCGCAGTGTCATGCCCAGCAGTAACATGCCCCGCAGTGTCATGCCCAGCAGTGTCAGCAGTAACATGCCCCACAGTGTCATGTCATGCCCAGCAGTGTCATGCCCCACAGTTTCATGCCCCCCAGTGTCATGCCCAGCAGTGTCAAGCCCAGCAGTGTCAGGCCCCAGTGTCATGCCTAGCAGTGTCATGCCCAGCAGTTTTCTGTCTCAGTGTCATGCCCAGCAGTGTCGTGCCCAAAGGTGTGTCATGCCCAGCAGTATCATACCCAGCAGTGTCAGGCCCCACAGTGTCATACCCAGCAGTGTCAGGCCCCACAGTGTCATGCCCAGCAGTGTCAGGCCCCACAGTGTCATGCCCAGCAGTGTCATGCCCCACAGTGTCATACCCAGCAGTGTCATGCCCCACAGTGTCATTCCCAGCAGTGTCATGCCCAGTAGTGTCAAGCCTAGCAGTGTCACGCCCCCCAGTGTCATGCGCAGCAGTGTCATGCCCAGCAGTGTGAGGCCCCCAAGTGTCATACCAAGGAGTGTCATGCCCCACAGTGTCAAGCCCAGCAGTGTCATTCCCAGCCTTGTCAGGCCCAGAAGTGGCATGCCCCACAGTGTCAAGCCCAGCACTGTCATGCCCATTAGTGTCATGCCCAGTAGTGTCAAGCCTAGCAGTGTCAGGCCCCCCAGTGTCATGCCCAGCAGTGTCATGCCCAGCAGTATCATACCAAGCAGTGTCAGGCCCCACAGTGTCATGCCCAGCAGTGTCATGCCCCACAGTGTCATGCCCAGCAGTTTTCTGTCCCAGTGTCATGCCCAGCAGTATCATACCCAGCAGTGTCAGGCCCAGCAGTGTCAGGCCCAGCAGTGTCATGCCCAGCAGTTTTCTGTCCCAGTGTCATGCCCAGCAGTATCATACCCAGCAGTGTCAGGCCCAGCAGTGTCAGGCCCAGCAGTGTCATGCCCAGCAGTGTCATGCCCAGCAGTTTTCTGTCCCAGTGTCATGCCCAGCAGTGTCATTCCCAGCAGTATCATACCCAGCAGTGTCATTCCCAGCCGTGTCATGCACCACAGTGTAAAGCCCAGCACTGTCATGCCCAGTAGTGTCATGCCCAGTAGTGTCAAGCCCCACAGTGTCATGCCCAGCAGTGTCATGCCCAGCAGTCATATCCCACAGTGTCATACCCAGCAGTGTCATGTCCCAGTGTCATGCTCCACAGTGTCATTCCCAGTAATGTCAGGCCGAGAAGTGTCATGCCCAGCAGTGCCGTGCCCCAGTTTCAAACCCAGCAGTGTCATGCCCCACAGTGTCATTCCCAGCAGTGTCATGCCCAGCAGTGTCAGGCCCAGCAGTGTCATTCCCAGCAGTTTTCTGTCCCAGTGTCATGCCCAGCAGTGTCATGCCCAGCAGTTTCATTCCCAGCCGTGTCATGCCCAGAAGTGTCATGCCCCAGTGTCATGCTCCACAGTGTCATTCCCAGTAATGTCAGGCCGAAAAGTGTCATGCCCAGCAGTGCCGTGCCCCACAGTGTCAAACCCAGCAGTGTCATGCCCCACAACATCAGGCCCCACAGTGTCATACCCAGCAGTGTCATGCCCCGCAGTGTCATGCCCCACAGTGTCATGCCCAGCAGTCAGGCCCCAGTGTCAGGCCCAGCAGTGTCATGCCCAGCTGTGTCATGCCCAGCTGTGTCACGCCCAGCACTGTCATGCCCAGTAGTGTCAAGCCCCAGTGTCATGCCCAGTAGTGTCATGCCCCACAGTGTCATGCCCCACAGTGTCAGGCCCCACAGTGTCAAGCCCCACAGTGTCATGCTCAGCTGTGTCAAGCCCAGCACTGTCATGCCCAGTAGTGTCATGTCCAGTAGTTTCATGCTCCACAGTGTCATTCCCAGTAATGTCAGGCCAAAAAAGTGTCATGCCCAGCAGTGCCGTGCCCCACAGTGTCAAGCCCAGCAGTGTCATACCCAGCAGTGTCAGGCCCAGCAGTGTCATGCCCAGCACTGTCATGCCCAGTAGTGTCAAGCCCCAAAGTGTCAAGCCAAGCACTGTCATGCCCAGTAGTGACAAGCCCCACAATGTCATACCCAGCAGTGTCATGCCCAGCAGTCATATCCCACAGTGTCATACCCAGTAGTGTCATGCTCCACAGTGTCATACCCAGCAGTGTCAAACACAGTAGTGTCATAATTAAAGATGTTAGTAAATGTAATGTCAAAATGCAGAAATTTGGAACATAGTGTTAAAGTCCATTTCACATCACCTGAATCAGTAAAATGTATTGGATTTCTGGAGGACTTATAATTGCTGATACTTACACTCATATTTCTTCTACAAAGTTTTAATGTAAGACATTTATCAACCTAGGGGGTTGTACATATTGCTTGTACATGTTAATTCCATGCTTAACAGAATGTTGATATTTGTATGTTGTACATATTTAGTCTAGTCTCTCAATGAGCTTAGTTTACTGGTCTGTTGAACAGGGAGGGTTTCCATTCAGTACTTTAGACTGTGGCTGGATTGTGTCGGACTGCACAGCAGAGGGCCTGAAGAGTGTCATGTACCTCCAGGAACAGTGCAGCATCCTGGGTAAACATGTTCCCAAAGAGAGGCTGTACCAGGCTGTGGATGTGGTAGGTAATGCTGTGAGACTGCATCATATATCAGTGTGGCTTAACCGTAGACACCAGGAAATAGATCTGTTCTTGTTCAGAGCTGTCTTTGCTTCTACTGATGAATGGAGGAGCAATAGACCTGTGACCTTGTAAACTGTGTCACCGACAGCCAAGGCTCTATGCTATAGTCTGTTTGCAGTGAAAACGTACCGATGAATTTCACTTTAAACAAAAAAGTAAATCAAATAAAGTGAAATTAAGACTGCGAATCCTCCAAAATTTGCCTTGCCAACTGAACATTAAATCTCAGAATTTTATTCATTGTAGGACAAAAATTGTTTAACAAACGATCATACATTCAAATCGCTATTATTGGTTTGTATGACAAGGGGGTGAGCACAGTAGATGGAACAGTGAAACAAATGCACGTGCGGTTTGTGATGAGCGTTAACTTAGACCAACACTACTTGTTCTTGGTGTTTCATTTAATGCGCATACACTCTTATAATACAAACCAATAATAGCGATTTGAAACTATGATCGTTTGTTAAACAACTTTTATCCTAAGTTGAATAAAATTCTGAGATTTAAATGGTCAGTTGGCAAGGTAAAATTATGAGGATTCGCAATCTTAATTTCATCTTATTCGATTTACTTTTTGGTTTAAATTGACATTCATCGGTACATTTTCAATGCAAATAGACTATACACAGTAATGCTTACCAGAAAATGTTTATTGACATTTATGTATTCCTGGTTAGTTCCAAACAGCCTTAGTCTTAAGACAAGGTTCTGGATACCGATATGGTGTTTGTAAAGACTGAAACACAACCGCCCAGCGACATGTGTATTTGTCTTGTATGCAATGAATCAAACCCAAGATTCCTGTTGGTCAGTTACTGGACATGCGGAACAGTGATGGCGGCTTTGCTTCCTATGAGACAAAGCGTGGTGGTACTCTCCTGGAGCTCCTCAACCCATCGGAAGTGTTCGGTAAGTGATGAGGGGTATTTAAATGGTTCAGAATTGGGGTGACTATTAAGGGGGGAACAACTATTGCGATACCAATAGTCTATTGCGACCAACTGTTGCAATACTATTGCAAGTTATTCTCTCCTTGAATAGTCTCATTCGAAGTCATTTCCCAAATGAATGTATAGTTTATAGGAAATAAAACAAGTTGAAGTAGTGTCAGTCTCTTTTGATAACTGGCAAGAAACCAGATCAAGTCAACAGTTAAAACATAAACTTATTGTTATTCACAATTTCAAACTCCGAGTCGTATGCCGTGTTTGCCGTAATGTTAACAGTTAACAGGGGCGGACAACTCTAAATCTAAGTGAACGAATCTGGTACTTCCTGTATTTTGCACTGCACATTTACCAACGGAAGTCAATTACTAAACTATCTATAGTCACACATACTATCGATGCATCGATATTTTTCGTTTCTACCATCGATTAATTGCTATCGGAGACAACAATCACAATCCATCGATAGTTTGATGCATCGTTACAGCCCTAGTTCAGAACCTATGATCAACCCATTGGAAGTTTATGGTATAATTGACACAGTTAATAATAAATTCAGAATATAGCCATTAATGATGCAAACAGTACAAAACTAACTGAACATTTCATTTGCCAGGAGACATCATGATCGACTACACGTATGTTGAATGTACGTCTGCTGTGATGCAAGCTGTCAAACACTTCACTGAAAAACATCCTGAATATCGGGCAGACGAAATCCAGTTTGTGTTGGATGATGGTCTGAGCTATGTTCGCAACAAACAGAGGCCTGATGGTTCATGGGAAGGATCATGGGGTGTCTGTTTCACATATGGGGGATGGTTCGGCTTGGAGGCATTTGCTTGCATGGGATTCCGTTATGACAAAAACAATGTGCCACAAGAGGTGAGGAGAGCATGTGAATTTTTTGTAAAGAAGCAGAATGCTGATGGAGGATGGGGCGAGGACTTTGAATCATGCGAGGAGCAGCAGTATGTTGCCAGCAAGGAGTCCCAGGTTGTCAACACCTGCTGGGTTCTGCTGGGCCTCATGGCAGTCAGGTGGGTGTAACTCATTGCTGCGAGGTTGTGTAAAGTAAGACTGGGGTTTATGTTGCAGGATATTTGTTTGATGTGGTCAAACCACAAAGCAGCCAGGTTGATTGTGTAAACGTCTCACTCTCATGCTGCAGATACCCAGGTGTGGACGTGATAGAAAGGGGTGTGCGACTACTGATGGACAGACAACATGACAACGGAGACTGGCCACAGGTACAGCCTTCAACTTGTTAAAGTAACCATCAACAGAAGTGCTGTCAACTCAGCTTGTAATCTAACATGATGAATCAGTTGATTGGCATTGTCTGTTTGGCCTGTCTACATGCAGCAGGTCAAGTGGCTCTCTTTTCATTAACAAATGCATCATTATACACCTACACCTCTCTAATGTTGCAGCTTTTCATGATCTCAAGATAAGTAAGAAATGATTTTTTTCAAGGAGAACATCAGCGGGTGTGTTCAACAAATCCTGCGCCATTAGCTACACCAGCTACAGGAACATCTTCCCCATCTGGACACTTGGGAGATTCAGCATCCTGTATCCTGACAGTCATCTTGCCAACACTTGAAACATGTCACTTGATCTGTTCAGAGGCCAACAATTCATGTGATGAGAACAGAAGGCTCAGTTCTGTAATCTTGTACGTCTTCAAACTGTTCTTAGTATTACCAAACAATTCAACTAATAAAGGAATATGGCGAGTGTAATTGATAGGGGTCACTATTGAGGGGGAAACAACTATTGCAATAGTCTATTGCGACCAACTATTGCAATACTATTTCAATAGTGTTTTTCTTCTTGAAATGTCTCATTTGAAGTCATTTCCCAAAATAAATGTACAGTTTATATGGAATAAAAACAAGGTTAAGTAGTTTCAGTCTCTTCTTATGAGTGACAAGAAACTTGAAACCCAGATCAAGTAAATAGCTAAAGCATTCAGTCAAAGAAGCTGCAAGTCTACACCCAAACATCCTGCATTTTGCGCTGTGCATTTATCAACGGAATTCAATTACTAAACTATTGATAGTCACACACTATCGATGCATCGATTGGTTTTCGTTTTTCTACCATCGATTAATTGCTATCAGAGACTCAACAATTGCGATCCATCGTTACAGCCCTAGTAATTGAACTTGTTTGAATGTAAGTCCTGTATGGATTTGGTGAGAAAGTGAATGTTTGTGGCAGTGTGTGTGGCTGTGTTTAGTCTGAGAGTTTTTCCATGATGTACAGTTCGTTTCATACAAAATGATACCGATGAATTGCAATCTAACACAAAAACAAATAGACATAAAGGAATCAAACCAACGGGCGCATGGCAACTAAAGGAACAGCGCGAAAAGTGAGATGCACGTGTGTTAACGGGTTCTCAACAAAATTTTGAGCTGGCGAGATGACACGTAACCCAGCTGCACAGGCAGTGCGCTGTATGTACTTAGTAATTGCATACTTGGGTCACCCCCTGTCATTTTCATCATTGAAAAAAATCATAGACTTTGTAAATTATTGACTTTCATTTTCTCTCACTTTGTCAATCAACAGTAATGTGTCTCTGACGTCACTAATGCACGTGCATCTCGCTTTTCACGCTGTTCCTTTAGTTGCCAATGCGGCCTTGTAACAAACTGAGAAAATACACAAATAAATGAGTTTCTTAAACAACTTTTTTATTTTTGTGACACAAATTATGCCATTTTTTTCTAGAGTTGGTCTGTTGTGTTTATTGCAGTCCTCATTGGCTTGATTGTTTTATGTCTATTTGTTTTTGTGTTAGATTGCAATTCATCGGTATCATTTTGTCTCAAACGGACTGTGAGTCCTGTATGGATCTGGTGAGACAGTGAATGTTTGTGGCAGTGTCTAGCTGTGTTTAGTCAGAGAGAGTCCTGTATGGATCTGGTGAGACAGTGAATGTTTGTGGCAGTGTGTCTAGCTGTGTTTAGTCTGAGAGAGTCCTGTATGGATCTGGTGAGACAGTGAATGTTTGTGGCAGTGTGTCTAGCTGTGTTTAGTCTGAGAGAGTCCTGTATGGATCTGGTGAGACAGTGAATGTTTGTGGCAGTGTGTCTAGCTGTGTTTAGTCTGAGAGTTTATCAATGATGTAAGTCCTGTATGGATCGGTCGACTTGTACAATCAGCTTGGTTGCTAAGGACCCGTTCTAACCTGGTATCCCCCTAGACACAGATGGAACTGAGGTGACCAAAGTACACACACGTGATTTGTCCAGACAGAGCAGGGTTGATGTGATCTTACATGACAGATATTACTGCAGGTCAGGAATAACACGAATACATGTATATTAATAGCAGTCACAAATATTAATGAGAAACTGTTAGAAACTACAGAACTAACACAGAGAAAACATATTTATTTCAGCTCACAAAATATGTTGTGAAAATGAAAGGATCAGAGATCCGAAAATATTTTGTCTTTTAAAAACAATGTACTTATTTTGTAGTTTTACATCGTGTGTAAGAGTATATTTTATTCTCATGTTTGTGTCTGTCTTTAAACAAATTACCAAATATATTTTTTAGAATACTGATTCAGATACTGTTTGAGGATTGATCTTACTCATTTTGACTCCAATAAAAAACAACTTAAGACTTGTCTTCATTATCTTGTATACCGGTAGTTATCTTTCCTAGTGAAGACATACAAGGAAATCAGCAGCTAAACTACCCAGATGCAGATCCTGTAAGTGGGAGTATGTTCAGGGGTTTGACATCATCACTGTGGATGCAGTAGGCGGTTCTTGAATAACATGGTCCAGTGACCTGTGCAGTTCCATAGGCGGTTCTTGAAGAACCTGGTTCAGTGACCTGTGCAGTTCAGTGGGCAGTTTTTGAAGAACATGGTTCAGTGACCTGTGCAATTCAGTAGGCGGTTCTTGAAGAACCTGGTTCAGTGACCTGTGCAGTTCAGTGGGCAGTTTTTGAAGAACATGGTTCAGTGACCTGTGCAATTCAGTAGGCGGTTCTTGAAGAACCTGGTTCAGTGACCTGTGCAGTTCAGTGGGCAGTTTTTGAAGAACATGGTTCAGTGACCTGTGCAGTTCAGTGGGCAATTTTTGAAGAACACGTTATTCTCGACTGATCCTGCTGAAAAGTCATAGAAGTTGTACCCCTTTGAAAGCAGTTTATTGTTCATTTCAAAATATGCTTTATTCCTGTCAATAATACTTTCCCTAACAGGTTCAGGGGAGATAACCCCCACCTTGGTGTCCAGTCAGGATGCACAAACTTGTGTCAGGAGTGACTTTGTGTCTATATGTTGGTCATGTTAGTAGTAATCATTACCTACTGCATCATCAACATGCATGACATGTCAGGTGTCATCAGTGACACTGGGTCTTTTATACAACCTCCACTGACTGCCAAAGCATGCACAAAGTAGTGGTTGGAAAATGCACATTGAGGTCTGTTGACTGACAACCGGGTCAACAGGCTTGAGACAACAGGTGTTTGTCAGTAGTAACGAGCTGGGCACCACTACCTAACCTGCTGATACACACTGTCCTGTCAGACCTACAGCTAGTCTCCAGACTGTGAGCACAACGTCCTGCAGTGAACTGTAGACGGGAACTAACATACTGACAGCGAATGTTGGAGTAGTGGACAACTGGAAACATATTCTGTTGATCAAATTTATCCCAGGTTATGAATTTTCTGACTAATGAGCTTCCAAATGAACTTGATTAAAATCTACAAAACACATTTCTAACAAAATCAACAAAATTCTGCAGTTAAATAACTTAAAGCAGTATTCAACAAAGCACTCACAATTGAGGAGAAATCTGTACAAGATATGGATGAATTTCACAGCAAAATGAAATGGACTATGTACAAAGGCTTGATTAAATGACAGGTAACGCTTGGTTGACAGGTGTACAGGTAACGCTTGGTTGACAGGTGTACAGGTCATCAGACGGTCAGTTGAAGTGTACAAAACATCTTCCCAACACTGACTGATTAAAAAAACATAAAGGGAAGTAAGTGGTGTCAGTTTACATTGTGGTACAGTGCCAATTGAAGTGTACAAAAATTCTTCCCAACACTGACTGATTAAAAAAACATAAAGGGAAGTAAGTGGTGTCAGTTTACATTGTGGTACAGTGCCAGTTGAAGTGTACAAAACATCTTCCCAACACTGACTGATTAAAAAAACATAAAGGGAAGTAAGTGGTGTCAGTTTACATTGTGGTACAGTGCTTCAGTTGTCCACAGCTGAGAGGTTTCACAGATCTATATATTGGGGTGGGTCATGCTGGAATGGGGAAAACATACATGCAAACCAAAGTATCTTTTGCCATTTACCCCATGGAATACTGGAGCCTTTTTAACCAGGACTTGTATACTGTTTTGTCTCAGTGCATTTTAACCTGATCCCATTGGGTAAACCGAAGGTCATATCCTCTCTGTCAGCCTTCACATCATAGGGAAACCTCAAGGTAAGTGCCACTCTCAAGTGATCATTCACCAAGACAACACATTGCTGACAGTTTAACGCATATATATTAAAGGCAGTATCTCCAGAAAAATATATACAGTATTTCGACAAAACAGAATTCTAAGAATACTGCCCATCATGCTGTGTCATACACTAAACACAATGCCAGTAGTGTGGTCATGGTGGAAGTATAAACAGAAGTCCTAGATGACAATCACATCCATCCAGTCATGACAACCAGATGTCAATCACATCCATCCAGTCGTGACAACGCGATGTCAATCACATCCATCCAGTCATGACAACCAGATGACAATCACATCCTTCCAGTTGTGACAACCCGATGTCAATCACATCCTTCCAGTCATGACAACCAGATAAGGATCACATCCTTCCAGTCGTGACAACCCGATGTCTATCACATCCTTCCAGTCGTGACAACCAGATGACAATCACATCCTTCCAGTTGTGACAACCCGATGTCAATCACATCCTTCCAGTCATGACAACCTGATAAGGATCACATCCTTCCAGTCGTGACAACCCGATGTCCATCACATCCTTCCAGTCGTGACAAGGAGAGGAAGCTGTGGTGCAACCCCCAAACCCCCAAGTGTGACCAAAAGAGGTATCAGCATTACTACAGCAGTATCATGGCTGGAGAGGGCATCTTCAGAAGTAGTCCTATAAACCCTCCACAAAACTGGGGTATCTCCAGCAGTACAGGTCTACAGCAACCCATGCCATAGGTAATGAACAGAGTGCGACTGGCAGTGTGATAGGCCATTACCCCGAGTCTTGTCAGGTAATCTTGATCAGGTGGATACAATGTGTCAGCTGTTTGTGAATCCATGACTGCCTGAAGAGATGAACAAAACAAAGCTTTGATTAACTGTCATTCTTGGTAAGTAGTGTCATCAACCCGGAACACTATGAGGACTGAAACACTTTGTTGTGATGTGATATTGTTGACTGACACAGCACACTAAGATTCAGGACCTCTCTGTACTTGCCTTCCCTTTAGACAAAGTCCTTCACCAGAGAGAGTGTGTTGAAGACAAACAAATCCATATAGTATACTTGAGACAGAGTTAGGACATGTTGCTTGAGATCTCATTAACATCCTACCAGTAGGCAGAATTTACTATTTTGACATAATTTTACATGTCTCTCTGTTTACATATTTGTACTGATACATTAATGAATCATTATAACGCCTAGATATTACACCGTCCAATCATGACAACTCAGTTGTAACATCCCTTAAACTTCATAAGACACAATTTGTACATTTCTTAGAGGATGTCGTCTCTCCTTATCTTGTCACTTCAGCAAATGGCTAGACATTAGCAGCTTCCTGACACACGTTTCAGGTGACAGACCAGGAACATTAGACCAATAGACACACAGATTGTGTAAAGCAGTTGGTGGTTTCCAAGTAGTTTTACAAAGAGGTTGGGCTTGCACCTGAGTCTGGTCAACATCCACTTTTATGGAAGTCCAAGTGTAAATACTGAAAGATGTTGCCATGGAAACCAATACAACATCAGTATGGCAATGAGTAATTACTTGAGATAAAGTTAAAACACTCAACACAGGACATCAAGGGAGGAGTTAAACTGTGGCACTGACGACAAGCCCAGAGTAACACAGTAATCCTGACGGAAGATGAAGTATGAGCAGTCATCATGATGCTCTTGGTCCTGTCCACAAAGCCATCTTAGCGCTAAGAGGAACTCCAGACCAAAATACTGACTGCCGACTGAGTGCTACAACTGCTTTGATGATCCAATGCTGCTGTTACATTATTTGACTTCTAAAAGTAAATCATTATCGGGTGGGTGTCCGCAATTTCTCGATGCCTGTATTTGTTCGACTAGCAGGAAAGGGTGTGGATGTACTTGAGGCCATGTATGGAGATGATGACGGCATAGTGTTGGAAAAGGCAGCGAAGTACTCGGCTGCAAATGATAGCACGTCATCAGGTTTCCGTAGCAACAAAAACTGCAGGAAATCAGCAAGTAGCGCTTTCAGCTCTGGGTGATGCCTCATGTAAACAGCATGGTCTCCCTTCAGCTCTTCCTGGAAAACATTATCACAATTATTATTATTATTATTATTAAATACAGATACCAAGGGTATGAAACGGGTCCTGAAGTTAATTTTATAGTGTGAGTTTATGAGGAACCAAGTGCATTAGAGCTTTCACTCAGAAACTCAGAAAGTCTTTGTATAAATCCTTGAAATCTTCAAATTACAGTTTGAAATTTGTGATAGTAAACTTGACTTTCAGTACAACTGCACCATACCAAAGATTGATCTACTAGATACCATGCTTGGTCCAGTCTCATCACGTTTTAGGCTGCAGTCACATAGCGGGAATAATGCAGGAATAATGTTGGGATAAGGCTAGAATAATGCTAATGCTGCAACAAACTGACACAAAAAGCCAGACACAAACCTTTCTGTCCAAAAATCTGGAATACAGCTGCATGTCTTCTTCCCAGTTGAGTGGCTGTTTCTCGAATGTTGGTTTTGGTGGCTCTTCATCTGTAAAACCAGACTTTACATTTTAGATATAACTGATGCACAAAACCTAAACAATCTGGCATCAAACAAGCAAGCTGCATCTAGTCTTCATTAGTTTCCATGTATTAATATACGACCAACATGTCGGTAGATTCAATGGACTCAGGTCCAAAGCAACATACAGGGTGCATCAAACATTTTCCCCTGAGGGGCAGGCCAACAACCTACAACCTCTAATGGTCCAACGACAGAGTTAATTAAGAAATAAAGTTCGCTCTACCCCAATGTGTTTTGTAATAAAGTATAGTTTTGCCCTGAACTATTATAACATCAAAGTGCTTTGATGTTATAATAGTTCAGGGCAAAACTATACTTTATTACAAAACACATTGGGGTAGAGCGAACTTTACATCTTTTCTAGGATGCTAAATTTAATACTTTCTAAGGATAATTACGATTAATTTAAGGTAGAAAACAAATGACGGTGTCGGTGACCTAAATTAAGAATCCTCGCTGGGGGCTAACTGGTGCGCTGTTCTATTGATGTGTCTGCCCCCTACGTTAAGACGAACGTTACCAGAATAAACAAATGATAACAGTTTGATGGCGGTTTACGTTCGGATTAAATATCTTCTCTGAATTATTTTAATTACATCTGTCATTAACGTAAACCATATTGGGCAATATGAACGTTGCATTTCTACTATCAAGCGTAAGTTTAGATCAGTACATCCAGAGGAAGTTGAGTAGTCAAGCGACATTCCACGATTGCATTGTGGGAATGTAAACATTCGCGAACGTTACCGTGTCGCTGAAAACTTGTGAGTCGAATTGACACATTTTAACCGTCGTAAAACATAAACGTAATGTTTCCACCAGTGATGTTAGCTGCATGAAGCAACTGCAAACCAAGAAACGGGATGCAACGGAGTAGTTTACTGTAGGAGGCCGTACGAGGCGATGACAACTGACATGCATCGTGACGTCACTTACATTGTGACGTAATGTAAAATAATTCGATTACGAGGGGGCACACTAGAATGGCGCAGTGACGGGATAACGTCATTCAATTGTTACGTCATCAAAAAACTATACCTTTATTGTCTCATAATGTATTTTTTTTTCGATTGTTCTAACAGCTAGGCATCTTAGAAAGGAGAATATGAGCGAATTGCAATAATTTGCTGGGTGAAAGATAAAGTCATCAGAAAACTAATCCCAAATTTTCAATTAAAAATTATGTATAATTATGTTTTAATCGCGAAAACAGTTTCTGTAAATCTCAGATTCGGCCATTATGCATATTTCGCTGGAACCCACGTGACCTTTCCGCTCGTGACGTCAAATGTGCCTGGAGTCCGCCATATTGCCAAAGACCAAGCGCTACAGTAGTACAAATCGTGTTGTTTCTGTCGTTTTATTAAATTGTACGATGGTGTATTGCGTTGCCTGGGGATGCATGGAATCATCGAACATGGGAAAGAACCATCATTTCTTCCGTTTTCCAAGTGAAATGACAGATTTCGGCAGGAGAAATGCGCCGATCATTCCGAGTCTGACGCATATGAAAATCGGTTTGGAGCCCTAAATGATGCAGTCAACTCGAAACATTGCCCGAATACAACGGCAAATCATGAAGTACTTGTTGCTTACATTGTTTTCCATTTTGTCCAATTACGCACGTCGTCATCAGACTCCTTATTTGTCAGTAGTGTGTGCCGTGAAAGTTGTTCTGTATTCTCATTGGCTGACAGGATGTCATTCTAAGGCTTTGATCGAGTACCATAACTATTTCCATAACCAAACAATGGGGAAACATACGTGGCCCTGACTAGTATTTTATAATTCACCAGTTTTCGGGGAATAACTTATCTGCGTCGCGAATATTATCTCTGCTCAACCAGGCTGGGATCTTGTATCAAGACTTGATACGTTATAATTATTAATGAGAACTAGGATCCTAATTTTTTTCAACAAAATAATTTTTGAAGCAGATAATTTATATTTTCCCTCGTCTGAAGCATAATTATTTTGTTTTTTAAATCCCAGACACCCTACAGTCACCCATTTGACACAAAATGAACTGTAATCACATTTGGTTTTAAACAATTCTTAGTGACTGGTCATATATTTATAGGGGTGAGTTTGCTGGCTGGAACTGTATGACATTTTGCTGACAAATAGTAATCTTGTTAAATGATATGGTCTATTTTTAAATTTATTTTGACCTCAAGCGGTGCCTCCGTTTCACTTGATTCTTCTTCATCTTCAGTGGAAGATTGTCTTGCAAGATGTAAAATCGGATCATATTGATATGGTCTAACATCCATTTCAGAAATGACATCAGGAACATCTTTTACTGCTTCAGCATCCACGGACACTGTTAAGTTGTGAGGTAAAATCAAAGAGGAAGCCATCAGCAACAGGCACTTATGACGTCAAGTCACGTGATACCCCCTCTGCCCATTAACTGTCGGGTGTTTCCGTAATAGGCGGAAATACGAGTACGTTTTTGTGTTTTTATTGCTATTTTACAAACTTTTTGTTCAATTTTAATCACGGAATGTGACTTTTAGAATATCCTTTACAATATATCAAAAGTTTTGTTTTCATTCGTATTCTCCTTTAAGCCCTTCCTACTGTAGCCAGCCAGCAACACACAGCTTTCACCCACCTCTCTCTATGGCAGTAGGTATCTGAGCTAACTTCATCGTGACTGGTGACCCTACTTGCACTCTGTTCGTCAGGTGACTGAAATGAATAAAATGTATTCAAAATGAACAAAGCTACACAATGCATGCATGTACTGGTACTTCTGTCACCATACAGCCCTGTACACCTATATCGAGGAACCTTAGCCAGGAATGACTGACTTAGTGAGTTTAGTTTTACGCCACACTCAGCAATATTCCATCTATATGGCGGCGGTCTGTAAATAATCGAGTCTGGACCAGACAATCCAGTGATCAACAGCATGAGCATTGATCTGCGCAATTGGGAACCGATGACATGTGTTAACCAAGCCAGTGAGCCTGACCACCCGATCCCGTTAGTCGCCTCTTACGACAAGCATGGGTTACTGAAGGTTCATTCTAACCCGGACCTTCACGGGTTAGCCAGGAATGTGTGCCCTTGGTATGAACATAGCGTGTTAACTGTTAAGACTATCGGACTCACTGTGAACATGGTATCAACTGTTAAGACTATCAGACTCACTGTGAACATGGTATCAACTGTTAGGACTATCGGACTCACTGTGAACATGGTATCAACTGTTAACACTATCGGACTTACTGTGAACATGGTATCAACTGTTAACACTATCGGACTCACTGTGAACATGGTATCAACTGTTAACACTATCGGACTCACTGTGAACATGGTATCAACTGTTAACACTATCGGACTCACTGTGAACATGGTATCAACTGTTAACACTATCGGACTCACTGTGAACATGGTATCAACTGTTAACACTATCGGACTCACTGTGAACATGGTATCAACTGTTAACACTATCGGACTCACTGTGAACATGGTATCAACTGTTAACACTATCAGACTCACTGTGCCCCTGGTGAGAACACGATGTTTAATCAATGGTTAAGACTATGGGGCTCATGTGCCCCTGGTGTGACACGATGTTTAATCAACGGTTAAGACTATGGGGCTCACCAATCGCCTGAGAAGTAGGACTGCCATGTAGTAGGTAGGTCTGTTGTGGAGATGATGGTTCTCTCTATACCAAACACCCTCATATCAAGACCTTCCACATTCTGAGATCTCTCTTCCAGGTGTTTCTACAACAGAAGCCAGACTGAGTGTTGTGTTGGCTGTTGTCACCCTGCAGTGACTAATACCTCCCAAACATTCAGACATTTAGAGGTTGAAAAACATTAAACTCAAACGAACCAGTAGAGCTTGGGAGATTCTTTGAAGATCTAGAGATTCCTCCTTGGGGTACTTATAAGCATTAGAATGGCCATTTTTAATTCCAACGACAGTTGTTACTATGTTCTGAACAAAAATATTTACAAAACAAAAATACGCTTATTGTCTTGTTCGACCACCCCTACAGGACCCCTGCGTGGCCTCACAGCCAAGAGCAGGTAAGTCTGAGCTTAAAGCTCATACCTCAATTTCCATGCTGAACAAAGTCAGACAGAATGTCGAAGATGGATGGCCATACCCCAAGGAGGACTCTCTTCAAAGTATCTGCAACCTCTACACGTATTTACGATTCAATTTCAGGAGAGATCCTCCTTGGAGTACTTATAAGCATAAGACAGACTCCTATAGACCAGAGTCCGGGAGTGGCATTCTGTCTGGCAAAACAAACTGTATAACAAGTGGAATTCCTTATCTATAAATCGAATAAGGTCGCACTTATTAGGTCACGTGACCTTCCAAACCAATCGGTTGAGGGTGTGACTCAGGGTCAGGGGTCAAACAATGCTGAACTAATAAGCACATTCATAGCGTATATTTGACTTGAAACCTGGCAACCGAATGTTGACCGTTTCCTTGTGAAACAGAGGACCGGATAGCCAATCAAGAACAACTGACAAGACCCAAGGGGGAGTAATTCGCTGGACAGCAGGATGGATCCTGTCCACGCCTGCTAGAAAATGCTGTATAACATGGTACTGACCCTTGAATGGTTGAAGCAACGAGACCTGCTTCTAACCTAGACTGGAGGAACTCCAGAACAGTGACTAAATCTGCAGAAAAGGGATCAAGAATCCCCCTGCCGATACACCAGCGCACATAGCAGGCCCATCTGTCCTTGTACTGAACATTTGTCGAGTGCCTCCGTGAAGCCAGAATCGTGTCTGCAACTGATTCAGGAATTCCGCTCGCCTGGAGGTGATTCCAGACAGTTGCCAGAGGATCCTGGGAATCAAAGGTATTGGTGGGAAGGCCCACAGTACCCTGTCCGTCCAACAGAGGTGGAAGGCATCATTGGCTATCACTGGAATCTGGTACGTCGCCCCAAAGGGAAACAGATCCACTTGGAACAGCCCGTACAACTGGGAGATAATCCCGAATATCAAGCATCCACTCGTGAGGGGCTAGTATACACCGAGAGTGCGCATCTGCTCGGACGTTTTCTAACCCTGGGAGATAAACAGGCATCACCTGTATGTCGTACTGATCTCACCAAAGTAGAAAATGCCACGCCTCCTGAAGTAGGGGCGGAGAGACCATGCTGCCCTAGTTCAGGATATAGGTCATGGCCGTCTAATTGTCCATCTCTAGATGAACCTCTTGGCCTTGTACCTGCATGAACTAACATTAAAAACATGGGAGAACGGACACATGCCACGCCCAAGTTGAAAAGGAGTAAAACACAAGAATTAACCAAATCTTGTGTGTATCAAACGTAAAACTACTGAACGAAGGAGAAAACCAACGCACAGAAGAATAATACATTAAAAAATCTATGACCTAAAAATATGTGATAATACGTAAAAAGGCATATATCTAGAAAATAATTAAAGCCTAAGCAATAATTATTAAGCACAGAAACAAATCTCGTCCTTAACTGAAAGGCTATAAAAAGCCAGACAACCAAATCAGACGTGGGAAGGCAAGGCTTCCCGACCGCCATCTTGCAAGTAAAAACATAGATGAATGAAAAAATATCAGAAATAGCATAAGTTATTGGTAGAAAGTAAAATTAACTACAAAATGTTTCATGACCCTCTCAGTACAATCTGATTTTACTTGACCAGACCAGACCAGACCACAATTGAGTTTACTAGACCAGCTTCAAACTGTAAGCCAGAGATTTGGTTTACATGAAAAAATTACTCACATACACAGCCACACTGAGATTGGCGTCAGAGTCAAAGGAAAGCAGTTGCATGTCATCAGGAAAATTCTTTTCTATCAACAGTCTGTGGAGCAGCAGATTGGACCCTGCAATGTCAAGTGTTAAAAAGATGAGTGAGGGAGTTAGTTTGGGCTTGGGTGGAAGTTATTTGGGTGGGTGTCGTTTGGGTGGGTTGGGAGTTTGGTGTTTGGGTGTGGGTGGTGTTTGGGAGGGTGGTGTTTGGGTGTGGGTGGTGTTTGGGTGTTGGTGGTATTTGGGAGAGGGTGGTGTTTGGGGGTGGGTGGTGTTTGGGTGGGTGGGTGGTGTTTGGGTGGGTGGTGTTTGGGGGTGGGTGGTATTTGGGTGTAGGTGGGTGGCTGAGTGAGAATATAACTTTTTCGTTCATTTATTGTTCTCTATAACTAATTTGTTTACAGGACCACGTTCTGGAGGCCCCTTACTGGTAACTTAGGAATATAACGTACAGTAGACGTACATTGGGCTAACACATGTTCTGGAGGCCCCTTACAGGTAACTTATGAATATAACATACAGTAGACGTACATTGGGCTAACACATGTTCTGGCTGACCTTACCAGTAGGCACAGGTAACTTATGAATGTAACGTACAGTAGACGTACATTGGGCTAACACATGTTCTGGAGGCCCCTTACAGGTAACTTATGAATATAACGTACTGTAGACGTACATTGGGCTAACACATGTTCTGGAGGCCCCTTACTGGAGCTGGAACTTAATACTGGTAACTGATGAATATAACGTACAGTAGACATACACTGGGCTAACACATGTTCTGGAGGCCCCTTACTGGAGCTAAAAACTTAATACTGGTAACTTATGAATAAAACGTACAGCAGACGTACATTGGGCTAGCACATGTTCTGGAGGCCCCTTACTGGAGCTGGAACTTAATACTGGTAACTGATAAATATAACGTACAGTAGACGTACATTGGGCTAACACATGTTCTGGAGGCCCCTTACAGGTAACCTATGAATATAACATACAGTAGACGTACATTGGGCTAACACATGTTCTGGTGGCCCCTTACTGGTAACTTATGAATATAACATACAGTAGACGTACATTGGGCTAACACATGTTCTGGCGGCCCCTTACAGGTAACTTATGAATATAACGTACAGTAGACGTACATTGGGCTAACACATGTTCTGGAGGCCCCTTACAGGTAACTTATGAATATAACGTACTGTAGACGTACATTGGGCTAACACAGTTTCTGGAGGCCCCTTACTGGAGCTGGAACTTAATACTGGTAACTGATGAATATAACGTACAGTAGACATACACTGGGCTAACACATGTTCTGGAGGCCCCTTACTGGAGCTGAAACTTAATACTGGTAACTTATGAATAAAACGTACAGTAGACGTACATTGGGCTAGCACATGTTCTGGAGGCCCCTTACTGGAGCTGAAACTTAATACTGGTAACTGATGAATATAACGTACAGTAGACGTACATTGGGCTAACACATGTTCTGGAGGCCCCTTACAGGTAACTTATGAATATAACGTACAGTAGACGTACAGTGGGCTAACACATGTTCTGGTGGCCCCTTACAGGTAACTTATGAATATAACGTACAGTAGACGTACATTGGGCTAACACATGTTCTGGAGGCCCCTTACTTGTAACTGATGAATATAACGTACAGTAGAGGCGTACATTGGGCTAACACATGTTCTGGAGGCCCCTTACTGGAGCTGAAACTTAATACTGGTAACTTATGAATAAAACGTACAGTAGACGTACATTGGGCTAGCACATGTTCTGGAGGCCCCTTACTGGAGCTGGAACTTAATACTGGTAACTGATGAATATAACGTACAGTAGACGTACATTGGGCTAACACATGTTCTGGAGGCCCCTTACTGGAGCTGAAACTTAATACTGGTAACTTATGAATAAAACGTACAGTAGACGTACATTGGGCTAGCACATGTTCTGGAGGCCCCTTACTGGAGCTGAAACTTAATACTGGTAACTTATGAATAAAACGTACAGTAGACCCAGTCTCACCATATGGTTGTCTCATCACTGAGGTCTCACCACAAAGGGAGTCTCACCACCAAGGGGGTCTCACTACCAAGGGATCACACCAACACAGGATTTCACCATATGGTTGTCTCATCACCGAGGTCTCACCAACACAGGGTCTCACCACGAAGGGATTCTCACCACAAAGTGAGTCTCGCCAGAAAGGGAGTCTCGTCAAGGGAGTCTCGCCACAAAGGGAGTCTCACCACTAAGGGTCTCCCCATATGGATATCTCATCACCAATGTCTCACCAGCACATGGTCTCACCACAAGCAAGTCTCACCACAATGGGATCTCACCAACAAAGGGTCTCACCTTCAGAAATAAAGCCTTGCATCGTGTCCAGTGCGATTGTTTTGGCTGTTCTCTGAACATCCTGTAAAAATGATATTTACAACATAATAATGTTGAAGAACATCATCAACAAAAGAGTGTCAATTATTACATAAGGCATGTCTGACTAGCAATTCTGGTTGAGTAAATTCTGACAAACCACAGTGTGTATTCCAGCCTTTCTAAAAAGTGAGCCCATGTCAAATTGCTGTGACTTTTTAGCCATACACTACTAGTTACTAGTATGAGTTCACTTCCCTTTCAATCTGGGTGAGGTTAACAAGAGAAACCATTTTTTTTTCAACACATTAATAAAACAGTTAACATAAAAAAGAATTAGAAAAATATGAATAAGTAATAAACTATAAATAAACCCAGTCTCATTGTTTATTGAGACAATTCAAATGAGCATTTCAATACTGATTGAACAGTTTACTTAGTCCAGCTAGCACTAAGTCGGAGTTTTCAACCTGGAACTGAACACAATATTTGTTTTAGCAAGGCATTGTCTTATGCAGAGCCAGAAATAGCTATCAGCTGTGCATATATTTCCCTACGAACTACCGGTGATTTAGTTAAAACGTACCCAATAATGGAACAAGATGAATTCTGATGCAATGATCAGAAAACTACAGTATCTGAAAATATTATTTTACCAAGAGGAATATATTCTATATGCAAAGAACACGTAGTATTATGAGAAAGTGAAACAACAGGATTAACTTGCATAATTCAATATGGATTTGTTGACACTCTATTTCCGATGACTGATCATGATGAAAAGATGAGCGAAAGTTTAGTGATCGGCATACCTATGAGATCGGCTTACCTATGAGATCGACTTACCTATGAGATCGGCATACCTATGAGTTCGGCATACCTATGAGATCGACTTACCTATGAGATCGGCATACTTATGAGATCGACTTACCTATGAGATCGGCATACCTATGAGATATGAGATCGGCATACCTATGAGATCGGCTTACCTATGAGAGATCGGCATACCTATGAGATCGGCATACCTATGAGATCGGCATACCTATGAGATCGGCTTACCTATGAGATTGGCATTCATACCTATGAGATCGGCTTACCTATGAGATCGGCATACCTATGAGTACCTATGAGATCGAGAGATCGGCATACCTATGAGATCGGCATACCTATGAGATCGGCATACCTATGAGATCAGCATACCTATGAGATCGGCATACCTATGGGATCGGCATACCTATGAGATCAGCTTACCTATGAGATCGGCATACCTATGAGATCGGCTTACCTATGAGATTGGCCTACCTATGAGATCGGCTTATCTACGGTAACATATGGTAATGTTTTGTTTATTTGCTAGTAGAGCACACAAAAGTTATTTATGATATCTGCTATACTGTTTCACCCAAACTGAATAGAGACTTGAATTAGTCTTCGCTTGTAAACAGTTACCTCCCGCTGTGTGATGACTCGATTCACAACATATCCTTCTTCCTGGCGAACAATGAACGTCTTCCTGTCTAATGGGCAATTCTCCAGCTGAAATGATAACACAGTTACAGTATATGTGTGCAGTCCAAGACATCTGTCTTTTGCCGCTGTACTTTTCTCACTTTATCATGGTCTTTGCTGGACAATCAGTAAGGCTGTAACGATTCACTCGCATATTCGGTGAATCGAACCGTAGCCCTTCATAAATTCAATTTGTTATTCGTGGTCACCAGAACCGAATATTAACTAATATTTACAAATTTTTTAAGGGAGCACGTTTCACTTGAACCCTTGTGTACTTTTGGAAAGTGAGATATGCAAGAATGGAAAATGTACTAGCCTTGCAGTAGCGCAAGTCATGTTAGTTTGCCTAGGTCACACATGGTACTGTCAACTAAAACTATTACATACTAAATTTGAGTCTCATGAGATCACTGGTTATTACTGTGACAAATTAACACTGTCAACATGGGCGTTCCGTATTGTACATCAATCACTTAACCACAATATTGTATTCGTGAATAATTATTCGTATTCATTACCCAATATTCATGATATGTATCATTTTCGCCACATAGTGTATTCGTTGCAGCCCTAACAATCAGTTACTGTTTTTAACATCAGATTTCCTCTATTTGTTAAACTGAAAAAAAAAATGAAATTTTTAGAGTAAAATTAATATTTTTATACTTATCCTGACTCATGCTTATTTGCTTGTCTTCTTCTTCTGGCGAACCTAGTGGAACACGTATATCTCCCAATTGAAGTTCCCTTCAATAAAAGAAATCACTCATTAGTACTCACCATGAGTTACCTCCCTTTCCCCAAGGCGCGGGAACGAGGGCGCCACCCAAGCCCATGTGCTCCACTCTCTCCTTTTTTGTTTTGAGCCCAACACTTTATTTTTCTCGAGAAATCCAAAGTGCTAAGTGGGGAGGACGGGAGGGCTTACCTCATGAGTCAGGATAAGTATAAAATATTAATTTTACTCTAAAAATTTCATATTTTTTCTTATCCTGACTCATGCTTATTTGCTTGTAGAATCCTACGGATAGGTGGTGGGATTATATATACTTTGGATTTTACTAATTAGTGATTTGAACTGAGATAATTGTAATAACCCTATGGGAACTTCATGAAGGCACTGAACTGAATTCCTGCTGTATATTAACAGCTGCCTCTTAAGAAGGTTATTACAATTTACTGAATATAATAAAAGTATATAGAACATTAATTAAAGCTAAAGCTATTAATGTGAAGTATAAACTGTAGATAGTTTATAAGTATACTTTTATAAGAACCAAAGTAATAAACTTACAATATGTATATATATAAGCTATAACATAATTGTGCTTAAGGTATAAAGATAACTTAAGCTGTATAATAGTAACCAACTACTGAGAGTTTGTTAACTAATACATGTTATGAAATGAACATATGACTGAGCTTAAAGATAGAACTTAAGCTGAACATATATATAATAGTAGAACTTCGTAAGAGTTGTAGGTATATGTGTATAATGATATAAAATCATAGTACTGAGCTTAAGATAAAATTTTAACTTAAGCAAATATATATAGATAGCACGTAGCTATTAGTACTGTTATCAGATAAGTATAAAATCATCAAGATAGACTTATTTTCTCCGTGGAACTGTCAACTGTTGAGCGAGGACCATGGGACCGAAATGGTGGATACCTGAGACGTCCTTGGTGGTGATATTTCTCAGATAATGGTTGGCAAACACCATATCGGATCTCCAAAAACATCCCTCCATAATGGTATTTAATGAACAATTTCCATGTAAAGCTAAAGTAGAAGCTAGTGCTCTAATTTCGTGGGGATTAGCAGCACTTGGAGGGTCCAGTCCAGCTGCCTTGTAGGCTCTTAGTATGACAGTTCGGATCCAGATAGAAATAGTAGTGCGCGACACTTCTGTCTGTGAAGCGGTAGATATAGGGATAAACAATCTTTTGAATTTCCCTCTACTTTGCTTGGATCTTTGGAGATATATTTTCAGTGCACGTACTGGGCAAAGTGATAAGTCCATCGTATCATGTGGTCCAAGAATGGATGAGAGAGCTGGGACATGGAACAACCTGTCTGGTTGACCTGGTAGTTGATTTTTCGCAATAAAATCCCATCGAAGTCCCAGATGAGCGATGTTATGAATATCATCAAACCGTGTTCTCTCGTAATCCAAAGCGTGAATTTCAGACATCCTGGCTGCAGTGGCTAACGCTAGCAGGAATAAGGTTTTGTGGGTCAATGATTCAAATGACGCAGATAACAATGGCTCGTAAGCCTCACTTGTGAGGTGTTGAAGTACAACATTCAGATCCCAGGCTGGCGCTTGAAACTTCCGTTTCTGGTCTTCCAATCGAAAGGCACGTAATAAGGCGAGTAACTCTGGTGTTTTAGTCAACTTGACGCCCATCCTCATAGTAATGACTGAACTTATGGCTGCAAGATAAGTGGATAGTGTAGATCCTTTCAGATTCTTAGTTTGGCTTAGGAAACACAAGAATTCTGCCACTTGAGGATGTGTAGCAAATCTGGCTGAAAATCCTTTCTTAGCAGCATAATTGACAAAACTGCGCCACTTGTCATCGTACAAGTTACGAGTAGAGTTACGTAGTGCAAGCGTGACCGCCTTCGCCGCTCTGGTGGAATAACCTCTCTTATTCAAACATGCTTTGATACAGTCCACACGTGAAGTTGGTATGCTTCTGGTGTTTTGTGCACTTGTTTGGTGTGCAGATGTATCAGTAGATTGGAGCGCAGTGGGAGCTGAAGTAGTGGTTTTCCGATTCCTAGTATGAGGTCTGGAAACCACGTTCTCGCTGGCCAGTAAGGCGAGACCAAAATCAGATCGAGGCTCTTCGTTTGACTGATTTTTAGCAAGACTTGTGGGATCAACGCAGGAGGCGGGAAAGCGTACGCGTTTAGTCCCTCCCACGATATGCTTAGTGCATCCGTTGCCCAACCTAGTGGATCTGGCACTGGCGATACGAAAGTTGTCAGTTGATTGTTGAATCGTTCGGCAAATAGGTCTATGAGAGGAGATCCTATTTCCATGATTATCTGATTGAATATCTCTGTGTGGAGCATCCATTCTGTCGGCGACGGCTGGTGCGGCCGAGAGAGAGCGTCTGCTAACACATTTTTTGCTCCTGGAATGTGGCAGGCTTTGATATGAATGTTTAGACTGTCGACTAATTCGAACAGTCTGAAACATCGGGTGAGTAGATTCAGTGATCTTGTTGACCCTTGTTTGTTCACATAAAACGCCACTGTTGAGTTGTCTGTGTGAATCATTAACTGGGCGTTCTGTAACAGGTTGCTCCAGTGACTTATGGCGTTTATGACTGCTTGCATCTCTAGCAGATTTATGTGACATAAGCTCTTTGAATGCTCCATAGGCCTGGCTGCTGTCCTGCCGGTAAGGTGGGCTCCCCAGCCTATTAGTGACGCCAGTCCGCGTAGAGTGTATATCCGATTCGGCTCTACTAAGGAGACGCCCTCACGCAGACATTCAATCTCTTGGTCCACCAGAGTAGATGTGGTTTGACATAATCTGGTAGACTGAATGGTAGAGGGTCCTCGAGATGAGCAATGATGAGGACTTGTAATGGGCCTTAATTGAAGCCTGCCTCTGAGTGTCAAGTCTTGAGCTGATGTGAGTAGTCCCAGTAGACTCTGCCACTGTCGTAGTGGTAACGGAGAGAGTAGGGCTTGGGGAATCAGTTGTTGTATTTTGATCCATCTGTCCTCCGGGACTACCAAACGATTCTGGGCTGTAAGGAATCGTATACCTAGAAACTGCAGATCCTGCGTGGGCTCTAGGTCCGACTTGAGTAGATTTACTAACCAGCCTAACTGTGTTAGTAGCTTGATTGTAAATTCCAGCTGTAGTCTGAGACGCTGTGGATCTGGATCCACCTGTATACCGTCGTCTAGGTAAAATGCACTCCGCAGGCCTTGACGATGTAGGTATGAGACAATAGGCTTGGTTACTCTTGTGAATACCCAAGGGGCCGAAGTGATTCCGAAGGGAAGTACTTTCCATTGGTAGTGTATGCCGTCTAGCATAAACCTCAGATATTTCCTTGACCTGGGATGAATCGGAATGTGTAGGTATGCATCCTGCAGATCTATACTTACCATGTAATCTAGTGGACGAATTAGCTGACGGAGTTGAGGTAAATGTATCATGCGAAACGTTGAAGGTGCTCATGTTGTAAATGAGGCGATACTTCTCTTTGGAATTCTTTTTCGGCACTAGGAAAACTGGGGAGTAGAAGCCTGGTGTGATGTTTTGCTGCTCGAGAACTTCTAAGGCCTGTTTGTTTAGTAGAGACTGAACTGTTTCTCTTAACATCGGTAATAGTGCCAGCTGAACGTTGAACCCTGGTGGGTCGACTGTTAACGGTGACTTGGCCTTGAGTTGTAGACGATATCCGTACTGAAGGATGTTGGATACATACGGATCTTGAAGTATTCCCCAGTTTTCCCAGTGTAGTTGCAGACGTCCACCCACTTGAGAAGGTTGTACTGGGACGACTGGGGGGTGGAAGACTCCAGTCGTTCCGAACCTGACTTTCATCGTTTAAATCCACGGGCACCTCTGGATGATCTGCCTCTAGCTGATCCTCCTCTGAACTTGTTGTATGGGCGACGAAAAGAATTCTTGGGATTATTAACGGCCGCTAATTTCTTATCCCGGGCCCTCTGTAGCCCTGAAAACTTAGACTTACCCGAGTACCTCTGTGCTGATTGTTTAAAGGCGTTGGCTAACGTATCCATAGATTTAATCATGAGAACTTCTCTAGAATCTTTAGATACTTCCTTGGAAACCTTGTTAATGTTGCCACCAAACAGTAACGGTGAAGACCATGGAGCTGTGTACAGAGGCTCTGTGAATTGTTTATTCCAAGAGCAGGAGGCTAGTAACCCTTGCCGACGTGTCATGGTAGTGATTTCAGTAAGAGCTGAAAGATGGTCTGTAAGGAATTGTTGATCTTTTTTCTGCATAAGTAGTGCTGAGT